AGAGAGAGAGAGAGAGAGAGAGAGAGAGAGAGAGAGAGAGAGAGAGAGGGAGAGGGAGAGAGGGAAAGAGACTGAGATAGATTTGATCAATGGATCAATGGAAAGATACATGAAACAAAATCTTAATTATAGAATCTAGGTTGTACGTACTTGGGTGTACAAATCAAAAAGATTTTCTTCTGCATATTTGAAAGTTTACATAATGAAATGCTAGGAAAAACAAATTTTCCCTTAGTTTTACACATTGACTTTTATGCCCTAAAACAGGCACTTTCATAACAACCTTACAATGCTGCTAGATTTTATGGCTTCACTGGTTTTATTGAATGTTGTTAACTTTATAATATCACCTGGAGGTATCTATGACAACCTAAGTACACTTATAATTTGAAATAGTCATTTAAAACCTTCGTTTTGATGCACGAAAAGGAATATAACAACCTTTCCGGTAAACACGAAGTGGACAGATTTCATGATTATTACCTTTGTTCACTTGTTTCTAGGGGGAAGAAAGTGTGTGGTTTGTATATCGGGGAAGTCTGTCTACTGTCTTGTAATATATATTCAAAGATGATTGTTGGACCATCGAAAGTGGCAAGGCATAGAAGATCGAATAAAATGGTCATGGTATTTATTCTCAAAGTGGTGATGACAGCAGATGTAGTTTATAAGTCTGTCTACTATTCATCTTGTAATACGTTTTCAATCAAAGATGCTTTAATATATTTTATCAAGACATGGCAGTATAGTCTAATTTGTTCAGAAGAAAAATAATAATACTTTTTAGTTCATGAATTCAAGGCCACCTCCTCCAAAATTTAAACCTTTGACTGACAATGAACACCCCTGTTAATATTGTTAGACCACCAAAAGTGGCAAGGTGTAGAAGAGAGGATAAGGTGGTCGTGGTATTTATTCTCAAACAGGTGATGATAGCAGATGTACTTTACTAGATAGCTTGAAGACTCCCACTCCATTCATTCAGAGGTGCTCACTATCTAAACAGGATAATGGAGCATATACAGAATAAGTATAATATGTAACACAACAATATTTATGTTGTACTTTTGGTTCACATGATAGCTTCTGATATACCAGTTCACGAAAAAACCTTATGAAAGAATTTAAACCAGCATCATTTCTAATAGCAAAATAATGGGATTATTTTAGAGGTCCTCAAAAATGAAAGGATAAATATATACAAGCACATCCATTCAATTAAATATTATGTTGTTCTCAAAACCAACAGTTTAGGAAAATGTCTAATATAAATAGCATAAGACTTTTGGGATGGTGAGATGGCTTAGTGGGTGAAGGTGCTTGCTACCAAACCCGAGCACTTGAGTTTAATCCCTGGGTTTCTGTTAAGTGGTGAAAGAAGAGAATCGACTCTTCCAAGTTGTCCTCCGACCTGCACACATGCACCAAGGTATGTGTGAGGCATGTGTATATGCACGCTAACACAGACACACAAATACACAATTAATCAAATTTATTTTTTCAAAGAAATTAAAATCCTGGGCTTGGGATATAGTCTGTTCAGCATGTATTAGGCCCTGGATTCAATCCATAACAATCTTATTTATTAAAATAAAAATACATTTATCATATTTGAAAAAATATTTTATCATATTTGATAAGGGAAGCAATTCTTTCCAGTTTCTTTTTTTCCCTTTCTTTTAAATTGATTTTTATTGAGCTCTACATTTTTCTCTGCTCCCCTCCCTGCCTGTCCCCTCCCCTTCAACCCTCTCCCAAGGTTCCCATACTCCCAATTTACTCAGGAGATCTTGTCTTTTTCTACTTCCCATGTAGATTAGATCTATGTAAGTCTCTCTTAGGATCCTCATTGTTGTCTAAATTCTCTGGGATTGGGAAGGAAATTTTAAGAGAAATCTTCAAACATATATTCACACAAACATACACATCAACAGTGGAATGACAGAACTGAATTATAGTGACTCAAAAGTGATAATTGTTAAAAATAAAGGGTGTAAACAAGTTGTTAAACAACTAGTACCTTGGTCAGACTTGATGGGGATAAATAAATTTTGTAAATTATCAAACTGTTGAAATTTGGGTTCATTTTCCCTGACATTTACAATCATACCCCTATAATTAGTAGCAAGGATATAAAACAAAGCATTAAAAATTCTCTTTAGGTAGTTGAATTAAAGGTTTTATTTTCTTCACTTACAAATATATTTTGTTTCTCTGTTATTTTAACAAATATTCTTTACTTGTGATATAAAAGTTAAACTTAGAGTTTTTTTTAAATTTTTTAAAATTTATTTATTATATATACAATACTCTGTCTGCATGTATGCCTTCAGGTCAGAAGAGGGCACCAGACCTAATTACAGATGGTTGTGAGCCACCATGTGGTTGCCGGGAATTGAACTCAGGACCTTTGGAAGAACAGGCAAAGCCCTTAACCGCTGAGCCATCTCTCCAGCCCCTAAACTTAGAGCTTTTAAAGACCAAAATAAACAACCAAAAGGTAGAGCATGCCAAAGCTGCTCTATGAAATGAATGAATGAAATAAGGGTTTGTAGAAAAATAAAATTCTATTGATGTTTGAGGAGACTATATAAAATAGGGATCATTTATAGAATGTTTTTAAATGAAACTTGAGATCAACTTATGCAAATGACAAAGTTTCCAGGAAAAAAAGGCATAGCAAGCTCCAATGTTGGAGCCTCTCACAATCCACTGCTTTCCCCAAGTGATATATTTGTCTTTTTCCTCCTTTCAGATAGGGTGTCTCTATGTTGTTCTGGCTGTCCTGGAGCTCACTATGTAGATCAGGCTGGCCTCGAACTCATAGAGATCCACCTGCCTCTGCCTTCTGAATACTGGGATTAAAGTTATACACCACCATGCCTGGCATATCTTAATAAAGCTTCAAACATTGTATCTTATAAATTTATGAACTGTCCTAAGACCTCTTACTACTACTACTAAGTAAACAAACTAAGAAACAAACTACTGTTTTCTTAAAATTCTGCCAAGACTTATCTAATTATTCCAATATTGCTTAGAGGGTTGGTTTTAATTGTTGTTTTTCTGCATGAGCTACTTGATAAAATCACCCAAGGTAAGGGCTAAGGATGTAGGTCAGTGGTAGAGGACCAGCATCCTTCATAAAGATTATTCAAGGTAGTTTTTCAATATCACATACTCCATTGGTCAGGAAGCTTTTGTGTAATGTAAGTATTTTAGGTTCTACAGGCTATCAGGGTCTCTGCTCAACTCTGCCTCTGCAGACAAATAATATATAAAGGAACGATTATATAAAGGATAGATAGTTATCTTCCAATAAAACTTTATTTATGGGGGCTGAAGATATAGTTCAGAGGTTAAGAATACTGACTGTTCTTTCAGAGGTCCTGAGTTCAATTCCCAGCAACCACATGGTGGTTCACAACCATCTGTAATGAGATCTGGTGCTCTCTTCTGGCCTGCAGGCATATATGGAGGCCAAATGTATACATAATAAATAAATCTTAAAAAAGAAAGAAAATAGAAAAAAACTTTATTTACAAAAACAGGTGGTGGCATGATTTGGCCAGTGGAGCATAGCCTGCAGACCTCGTGATGATCTTTGCTGGAGATACTTAGTAATCTGATCATTTTTATCATTCAGTTCCATTTTCTAGCATAATATAATTCATTTGTCAATCATAACAGTAGTTTGTCCCTAGGTAAAACTAGGCATGTTGGTGGCAGCACAAATGACTTGAG